TGCTTCCTTGACTAACTGGAGTTGTTATCAGTGCAATTGCTAGGCCCACCGACTGCAGTGGGGTTTGCCCTCAGTGATAGCTGGAAGGATCACTGAGAGCAAAGAACGGCAGTTTTGCATGGTAAGGCATGGTGCCAGACCTAGGAAACTCTCTTTAGTCCTGGGCTACACAATACCATTTTTTGCCAGCTTTGCAAATGACAGCTGTTAGGAAGGAGGGATGAGACCTGATCAGCCGTGCATTTTCTTCTTAACTCTTCCAGTTCTGGCTCTTCTGCTTCCCAAGCCCATGAGTTATAAAGCACAGGCTGAGCTACAGTTGAAAGAACAAGTCATCCAAAGCCACAACCTGGGCTTTCCTGGAGAACGAAGTTTTTCAGGTCAGTGTTGAAAAAATACACTCATCTAGAACATCCAGGGTCTATGTGCTTGAAATATTAATATGGGTACAAGTTTCGTTTTTGCTGGGTTTATGGATTTAAATAGTTTTCATGAATTCAGAAAATGGATTCCTATTTACTATAACCTTCATTTTCTTCTACAGAAATGCAGGGAAAATGGCTCTCTGACACATCTTGCATGAAGACCATACATATATCACTGGAGATCAGAGGAAGAGATGACACACACTGGCATCAGGCAGGATTTATGGAAAGCTGCTCCTGTGACAGTTGTCTCCTACATGACCTCTTGCAGTTCCTTCTTAGACTTCTTTCTTTTGCTCTTTGTAAATAATCCTGGTGCAGAAGCATTGAAATATTACAAAAAATATTTGTATACTCATAAGGCAGATGGATGTGCTAATTTCTCCATGAGGAGGTGTCGTGGTTCCGCTCGAGTGGGCAGCCGAGTTCCACCACAACCGCTCTCTCACTCCCCCTCCTCAAAGAGGAATGGGGAGAAAATACGTGAAAAGGGCTCAAAGGTTGAGATAAGGACAAGAAAATCACGCAATAATTATTGTAACGGGCAAAACAGACTCAGCATAAGAAGATAGTAAGATTTATTGCTCATTACTAACAAGCTAGAGAAGTGAGAAACAAAGGAAAGGAACCAAAAGCACCTTCCCCCCCCCCATCCACCCTCTTCCACCTCCTCCCCCTGAGCAGTGCAGGGGAACGGGGGAATGGGGGTTATGGTCAGTCTACAGCGCTTCTCTGCTGCTCCTTCTCGGTCACTCTTGTCCCCTGTGCTGTGGGGTCCTTCCCACGGGATGCAGTCCTTGATGAACTGATCCGGCGTGGGCTTCCCACAGGCAACAGCTCTTCCAGAACTGCTTCAGATATGGGTCTGTACCACGGGGTCCATCCCTCAGGAGAAAACTGCTCCAACCTGGCTCCCCCATGGGCAGTAGCTCCTGCCAGGTCACCTGCTCCTGCGTGGGCTCCTCTCCACAGGCTACAGGTCCGGCCCGGAATCTGCTCCGGCAGGGGTCTGCAGCCTCCATCGGTGCAGGGCCACCTGCTCCACCGTGGTCTCCTCCACGGGCTGCAGCGTGGACCCCTGCTCCACCGTGGTACTCCATGGGCTGCAGGGGGACATCCTGCTTCACCATGGTCCTCACCACAGGCCGCAGGGGACTTCTGCTCCAGCGCCTGGAGCACCTCTCCCCCTCCTTCTACACTGACCTTGGCACCTGCAAGGCCATTCCTCACTCCTCTCACTCTCCCAGCTGCTGTGTGGCACAGCGTTTTTTTCCCTGTCTTAAATATGCTCTCACAGAGGCGCAAAACAACATCGCTTATTGGCTCAGATCTGGAAAACAGTGGGGCCCTTACCAAACATGGGGCAGCTTCTAGATCTTTCTCACAGAAACCACCCCTATGGCCCCCTGCTACCAAAACTTTGCCACGTAAACACACTACAGGAGGTAATTAAAAGTGCTAGCTCCTCTCCTAGAGCTGATGGCATGAAGCAAAATCTATTGTTTTTTATTTAAAATCAGGTTTTTATAACAACCTATTTTTATTTCAATAAAATATGTATTTCCTATAAATATACTGTATACAATCTTCAAAATAACTTTGCATCAAATACATGGACATAAATGAAGTATTGCTATTACTTTGTTTATAAGAGGTACCTATGTTTATTTTACAGGAAATGCCAATAATGCTAGGCTCTATGGATTACAAAATACTGCTGGTTGGGCTCTTTTGCCTCTGGCTCTGCCCGTACATTAACCACATGTGTAAATGGCTTCCCCTCTAGCTGAAAAACTGCCCTCATGTCAGACAGAGAGGAAAATCACTACTGTGGGAGGGAGATGCTCCTCGGTACATGTGTCAATTTGCCCATGAAAATGTGTCGGAGCCAGCTGTTTGCTTCGAGAGACCAAGACAAGGGGGAGTTTAAGCCAGCGATGCCTGTTGAGGACGAGTGGGAAACTCACTGTCCTGGTTTCTGCCAGGAGGGATTTCTCCTGGAGATCCATGTGACTAATCTCTGCAGGGCTTTTCCTGCAGCAAAGACCTCTCTTTTTGTGCTGTAAAAATAGCTGCAATAAATCTCCCTGAGGAGCCATATGACAAAGCTACCCACTATATCTGCCACAACAACTGTCATGAAACATCTCTGCTGCCACTGTTCAAGGAAGCTCCATTGGGGTGTGGGGCAGAGGGATCAGTAGGTACTGTAATACTTTAATCTAACACTTTTCCAGAGCTGTCCAGGGCTGTAACTGTGCAGATTTGTGTGATTTAACTTTAACAGAAAGTGAATGGCCAAAATGCTTCATGATTCTGAGTACATCTGAGCTACAGGGATCTCCAGCTTGTGTTTATAGTGGATTTATTAAAATCAATTAAATGCCTATCTATGAGCTAACAATGAATGTATTTTCTAATGGCCATTAAGACGTCCTGATGTCCTCACCATCCACAATCAATGTTTTCTACTGAACAATTGCTGAAGAGTATCACTGTTATTACATATGGAAGATAAATGGCCATGTTAGGACCCTTCTGGGTCTGCTTCACAAAGCAGATGTATGAAGAAGTGGGCAGAAAGCTACCTTCACCTACAGGGCTAAATGGCCCACATGTTGTGTTTTCTCTCAGGAGATGTCAAGCTATTGGAAAGGCAAAGGAAAAAAAGGAAAAAACAACATGCTGTTAGAGCAGAGATGTTCTCCTGATGCTGCTTATTGGATGGTAGTCCAAGCAGAAAGATTTATTCCAACCCTCATGCTGCTCTGTGCATTGGGCAGGTGTATCTGGGTTTAGGCTTTGACCGAGCAGGTCTCATTATCAGGAGAAACAGACGTGTCTTCCTTCCCAAACCCTTATTTTACCACCCAAGCCTTCCTCACTTCTTCCTGCTTGGGTGCTAGGACCTCAGACAGGGTACCAGAGGGACACAGCGGGCTACGAATGAGGACACAGAGCCAACCTCTACTAGCAGTGACTGCAGCCCTTCTCACCTTGGATCCATGCCAGCTTCTCAGATAAGTCCTATTTTGTGTGAATTCCTTAGACCACCATGGGTCACATGTGGTCTAAAGAGCTGTAATTTTTGATAGGAGCAGATAGGAGCTAGGAGCTGTTTGAAGCCACTTTTGCAAAGTTTCTGTTCCCTGTAAGAACCCCTGTGCTGCTACAAAAATCTGATTCCAGTAGGCTGAAAACATGCCAGTTGATTCTGCACATCCAGCATCTAATAACTAGTTTATAGAAATTCATTTTTAAGCCTGACTGAATATGTTGATTTAAAAAATGAGGTTAGATTTAAATTAGTCTTCTGCACAATAAACTGTTTGAAAATGCTTTAAATTATGAATATTTATATTGCTATTAATTTGAGGTGCTACTAGTATTTTTCTTTAATGGTTAATTATTACAACCAATATGTTTAATTATGCTATAAATCTTTCCATTATTTTTCTGTAAATATTAATTCCCACACTTGCACCTTTTTATTTGATGTTGAGATTGAAGTGGAAAATGACCCTTTAAGGAAAAAAAAATCTCCGAACTGCCATTCTACCCGCCTAAGCACTAGACCATTTTATTTTAACCAGCTTAACTCCAAATGGCACTCAGGTTTTTCACCCTGTAAGCAGATTTTGGTATGGGTCATGCATTAAAAGATTTGCTGGCAGATAGCAAAAAGAACCAGACTGTGTGCTAGAAAGTTCCATAAGGCATAAAAAAAAGAAACAATGTTTTCCACAAGCTGTGTTGTAGCAGCTCTTGCAGCTTCAAGGGCATTGCTGCATAGCTACCACTATGACCACTAAGGATTTGCTTGTGGTTCATTTAGTTAAAGATAAGGCATGAGTTTAAAATAAAACAACTATTCCTGAAAACAAACAAACAAACAAATCAAAAACCTCTCATGGGAACACTCATATTCCAATACAAATGTTTTCAAACTTCTGTTTCTGATAACATTAAATCTCATTGAAAGTTATGTCTGCAACCACTGTAAGTGTGTATAAGAAATTATTGCTTTCTCTTCCCAGGAATTGAACTACCGTCTTAAATTTTTGATAACCATTTTAGGTCAAAAGGAGCAAAATGCTCAAAAAAACCCACAAACAAACAAACAAACAAAAAAACACCACAAAACACCCCTCTCCCCCCAGACCAATACAAAGATAACATTATTGCACACTGGTCATATCTGAGGTGGTATAATGTCATAAGAACTAGTTCCAAATTATGTGCAAGAGAATGAACAGAAATGAACAGATGGGTGAGATGGTGGGAAAAAAACCCTTCTCTCAAAAACAGAGTCCCCTGGGATGGTTAGCATTAGAAAACACAGACCAGATTTGGTATTTCAAAGATACAAATCTCTCTCATGCTGGAGCCATCCGAAACCTCAGTATATAGTGATAACTGTTAGTTTCTGAATAGCAAATTTGGGATAATGCCAGCAGTTGATACAGTGTTGAATATTAAAACAATTCAGGAAAAAAAAAAAAAAGAGAGAGAGAGAGATGTTATTTATGACATTATTTATATTGCTTGTTTCCCTTAGTCTAAATGCTCTCTTACCTGCATTTCTGTCTTTATTACTGAGGACCACTTTCAGACTGGCATCCCAATACAGGCTGTCACTTTGCTTGCTTGTTGGTAAAGGACCAGAAAGTTGTTTTGGGTGAGAATCAATGAGTAAGTAAGATTTGCCACTTCTATTTGCCTCTCTTGTTGCCAGCTAAATAAACTAAGCTTAATCCTGTGGTATCATATATATTAGTGTGACATGTCCAGAAAACATGACCCATGAGAAAAAAGGCAAGGGAAGGCAAAGCAAGGGAAGGGCAAGGGCAAGGGCAAGGGCAAAGGCAAGGGCAAGGGCAAAGGCAAGGGAAAAGGAAAGGTAAAGGAGGAAGGGGAAGGGGAAGGGGAAAAGGAAAGGGAACGGGAAAGGGAAAGGGAAAGGGAAAGGGAAAGGGAAAGGGAAAGGGAAAGGGAAAGGGAAAGGGAAAGGGAAAGGGAAAGGGAAAGGGAAGCAAGAAAAGGCAAGGAGGGATTGTGAGAATTTATTTGGAAAAGACAACCACACTACTGTGTACAGGAAGGAATAAAGCATTTTGGGACTGGAAAAGAAAGGAAGGGGTTTAAGCTGCAGCAAGGGAGATCCTAATTAGACATTAAGAAAACTTTCCAGTTGTAAAAATAGAGAAGAGCACTAGAACTGGCTGCCTGAGGAAGTCATTATAAAATAATTGATCTTGCTTTTAAGCAGAAAGTTGGGTTAGCTGCCTCATGAGGTGTGTTTAAAATACAGACTTGGGAACGCAGCCCTGGCTGAGGCTGTGGTGATGCTGCCTGAACCCTGGTGCTGCCGTAAGGCTATGGGGGCAAGGGCAGAGGAGCAGAAGGCTCTGTCAGCATCCCTGCTCCAGACAGGCAGGCGACCAGGACTGTGCACACCAACATTTAAATACCAGTCAAGATCCTTTATTTTCAGTATTACTTTCTGTAAACCTATACCACTAAAAGGCAAAACCACAAAGAGATGTAATTTTCAAGGCTTTGAGAGGAGAATTGACAAGAAGGAGAGCAATAAAAAATTCATCATTCAAATCAACAATAGTGTTGGATCACTTCTAACAAACCTAATGATCCTTAGCTAAATATTCATCAGAATATTTAAACTTAATTTCAAAGTGGCCTGAAACATATCTGAGTCTTGATCTCCAATTCAGAATTCAGTGTGATCTTAATATCCTGAGGGGAAAATGAAACGCTTGCATATAGAACTGGGTGGAAAGACTTTTCCCCGCTCCAATAAAGTTGTCAAGATTAAAAAAAAATAAAAATCCTATCCCATGCTGGGATGAACGTCTAAAAGCTTTTCGTAAGAAGAGGAAAAAAAAAAAAAGACAAAGGCAGTAAGAGAGAGAGTGATTCTTCTATCATCTCAGAACAGTCAGCTGAGACCAAAGCTCACCGCAGGGTCTCGCACATCACAGAGGAGTGCATTGGCATAAGGGTTTGACTGATTTGGCCTGACCTTCCCAGGCTCTCCTTTGCACAGAGGAAGGCTGATTGAGTACAGCCAACTAACACGGGAAATCCAAGTTCAAACCTATTTGAACCAAAAGACCAAAGACTTGAACCTTGGTCTCCCATACCTCAGATAAGTGTCTCTGCCATTAAGCTCTTGTGGATTCTAGGTTAAGTTTGATGCACACCCTCACACTCACCATTTTTCTGCTCTTCTCATCTTCCCTACATGTGCCTACCTTTTATCTACCTTTTCCTCCTGAAACTGGTGTAGTGGGTCTTATTTGTAGCAAGTTTGCTTTGCTTATGGAAAAAAACACAAAAACAAACAAAACCAACCAACAAAAAAAAAAATCACAAAATCCCAGTTAACTGTATTTGTATCCTAGTAAGGCAAAAACTTTAGCTGTTTGGATATGTTTAAATAGTTGGACAGGCAGCTGTAGCTGTGCAGTGTGTGATACACACTCACACTCCATAAGCCTTCTGCTGTTACCACACAGTGACCGCTGCTGGGTAGATCTAATTTGGAGTCATCTCATCAATCACTTTAAAAGCCATGAAAACTAATTTCCAAACTAAAGCATTTTCAATTCATCTTTCATGTGTCATAAAGATACTTTGAGCTTAAATTTCTTATCTTCTCTTGCCTCCCACCTCTGCAATCACAGCAGTCGTCACTCAGAGAGAGAAAGCTGCAGAAGGCTACATTTTCATAAAGCTATTTGGGATTTTTTTTTTTTTTTGTATAACTCCCATTAAGAAGTCAGTGGAAGAGACACAGATGAAACCATGGCACAGCAGCTTGAAAATTCAGTCCTGCATGTGAATTTTACTTTGTAAATAAAGAGACTAAGGTGATAAAGGTTGGAAAAACAATAGGATGGAGACAAGGTTTAAAAATCATGTCTTGTTTTCAGTTGTGTATTTCCATACTTTCTTAATAAAAACCATATGTCTTAAGTAGATCTCTAACTGACCTCTGTTTAGGGACTTCAGGACCTACCAGTATCTTCACATTGCAATGCAGAAGACATCTTTTTACTTTTATATGGCTTCAGAATATTTGAAAGTGAATTTTTTGCAAAATATGTATAATATAATGCTGAAAGCAGAATTAACTAAAACTACTTAAAACAATGTATTCTGTTTATTTTATGTAGCTAATGAAATCCCAAATAGAGAGTCTGGTTGCTGGTAGTCCAGGTCCATAAAAACACACACATTAAACTGGAACAAAGCTCAGAGTTTTACAAAGTGCCTATATTTTTTGAGAGAATACTTATCATTTCAGATAATCTCTGGGTTTTATGTGAAATGTAAAGAAGGTTAATACAGTAAAGATTTTTTTTTTTGGTCAATATTATCAGACATTTTTTGGGAGTTCTTTGATACCATACAATTTTGCCCTCCTTCCTACTTGCACTAAATTTTTGTTTTCAGTGCTCTCATGCTATGATACATCAAAACACTTCAACTTCTTGCTAATTCAGACTGAATAGTATCTATTTCATATCTAATGCTTGATAACATCTCAGTTTAAAACCAAAAGAAAACCACTGTCAGGATAACGTTGGCTACAGGAAAGTCTAAAGTCCAGAATTTTAAAGCAGACATACCACTAAGACCTGATAATAAACAAAGCATTTCGAATATGTTTAAAAATTACAAACAGGAAATGCTAAAATAACACACTGGTTTCACTTTGCATTTTATGTGCTATCTTCTAGTAGGCTGAATGTACTTATCCTCTCTTCTAAGGTATATACCTTTAATTTAGAGATTGCCATGTTCTTCACAGATAAATCCAATCCCCTGCAGGTGCAATTATTTCAACTAATAGTTCAACTGAGCAGCCAGTGCTGATTCCCAGCATTGACCTGTCCTTTGTCTGGTAGAGAATCTTGCTTCTTTCTTCACAGACAGAGCTAAAGCAATTTTTCACATGGATCAATATTTAATTTTTAGTTTCAGGTTTATTTTGCCCTCCCTTCCTTCTTTCCCCCCCCCCCCCCTTTTTTTTTTTTCTCTGTAAGTTGAACTGAGCAGCAAGAAGTGAGGAAAAATCATGAACAGATGATGTATAAGATTTTAGTTGAATGTGGGCTACATACCACAGCTTTAGAACTTTTCCTTTCACTTTTCTGGCAAATATTTACTTTTGTAGTTGGAAAAAATATGGAGCTGAACATCACCCTAAAGAATTCTTTGGCAAAATGCATGTGCTGTGAGTATATGTTATTAGAAGCATATTGGTTGGCAGTGATGCTGTTAAAATTTGTTAAGCATTCAGATAGTGCCCTATAAATTAATTTGTGTGTCAAAAAAGAATGATTTTTGAAAATAGCTTTCCTAAATAAGGAAAACCTAACCCTCAACATAAACTAGAAAATCCTTTATTCTGAAGTGGAAACTCAAAGGGTAATATTAATTTCTTCTTTACAGGGGAAGTATAAAATTAAAAATAAATAAATAAGTACAGAATTTAATAATTCACACTTAAAACCAAAACTGTAAAAAGGCCAGAAAAAGGTCATATGAAAACACTTATTTTCTAAAGATATTTCCAAACTTTCCTACATTAGCTTTACATTTATCTTCCCCATCAACTTGGTATTAAAATTACATCCAGTCCATTTTGGATTAAATTTTAGAAGGCTTACTTATTTTATTTTATTTTATTTTATTTTATTTTATTTTATTTATTTTATTATTTTATTTTATTATTTTGTGCACTCTTACACAATGCACAGGCAAGAAGCTGGAAAAAAATAAATAGAAAATATTCATGTGTGCTTTGAGTTTGTTAAACAATACAACTCATACAGTGGATAGCTGACACTGGAAAAAAATCTTACAAGAAATCTGATATAACCCAACGTGATATGAGCCCTTTAGTAAAGATGAAAATATGCTGCTGAAAGGAAGAATAATTACTCATCCATTAATCAGAGTGTATGTTTTATTCTGAGATAAGTATCAATGCACCTTGCTGCTTGTGAGATTTTCCAGATGATGGGAAACAAAAGGTAATCCAGGCTCTTCCCATAGCATCCAGCAGAAATCATTGAGCCACGAGTGTTCCTGCTGCCATCTCAGGAGCCCCATCTCAGTAGCACAAGGAGCTGCAGGCTGTGCTGAAGCTCACCGATGCCAGGCAAGCACTGAGATGGCTGCGCAGGGTGACAGCTGATGCCGTGGGAGGCTGGCAGTGAATAAACCAAACTTCCCAATGGAAGTTTGCTTCCCTTTGCTCTCTGGAGCAAAGACAAAGTATTTTGCCATTTGGCCTGAGTCTTCCCTGCATCCCGGTCCTTTGTGGAGGAAAGTTCAATGATATTATTTTAAATCAGGTCGACTCAGTGGAGTTCAGGGCTCAGCCGTGTGAAGGGTTGTGCCACCCAAAAGCAGGGCTGGTGCAGAGCCCAGCCCAGAGCTGGTGCAGTGTGGAAAGGAACAAGGCCATGGAGATGTGAAGGAAATATTCTTTCAGACAATATTCTTTTGGATAGTTGTTCTTCTTGGACAGTGGGCCCATGGCCTAAGCATAACTGGATCTGTCTTATCTGAAGCATTTTTGCTGAGTTAGACTGCATAGGCAGCGAGCGTGGGGACTGACTGGCATCAGGCAGTGTAGGCCTTGTTTCTAAGACGGTCTGGGAAGCTACAAGAAACAAAT